CAAATTCGACCTCAGATATATAACATTTACTAGCAGTGTGACTCTGGGCAAGTTACTTAACCCCAACTGCCTCCCCCCCCCAAAAAAAAGGATCCAGACCCAACTAACTCTCCCAACCAGAGATAAACACTTGTGGCCATAAGTGGCACATGAAGAAAAGACATGGTATTTGGATTTATTTGCCAGCTTCTTACATGTTCTCTGGAAAACATGAAGTCACTGAGATGGGGAGTGAAGAGGTTCCTGCCCCATCCTCCCAACATCTGCTCTGAGGATATAGAGCCTACGTGAGGGAGAAATTCTAAAAAGAACCTTAAGGACTCTGAGGGAAGGGCTGGAGGATGGGAGATTGGGAGATAGGGAGCTAAGGAAAGGTACTTCAATCTAGAGGCTGGAAAACACTTCAGTTCCAGTCTAACTCCCGGGTGGGTAAAGATATAAAGGAAAAGGAAGGGGTCCCTGAGAATGGGGTTGTGGATCAGGGTCAACCTCTTCCCCCAGGATTTGGAGAAGAAAATAGGCAGAAAGAGACCCAAAATCCTCATTCCTCCCCCAATATCTCATCTCTCTTTGTAGACTGAATTGAGGTATCTTTAGGTAAAGGAGTGGGATTCTGGATTAAGGGATACTAAATCTGGGATCTGAGTATGGGTTCCAAGTCAGGTAGCTAGCTGCATACCATATCCAGAGAACTGTATCACAGAGAGGAATTTGGAGTCAAGGAGGAGAGTTGGGAATTCAGGAGAGACAGTTTGGGGGGGTGGGGGAGGCATCTAAGGACCCAGAAGCATGCAGCCTCAAGCTTCAAGGTGTGGCCTCCTAAGTTAGAGAAACCTTAAGTTCAGGAGTAAAAGTCCAGAAAACAGATTCTCTAAGATAGCTCTTAGATTTCAGGGAACAGAACTCTGAATGGGGAGTAGGGGTGGGGGCAGTCAGGGCTTTAGAGCCTAGGGACCACAGTTTTATCCGAGGGGTTAGATTTCAATCAGCATCTACATCGTGGGGCCCAGAAAGTAATTGAAGCTTTCTTTGAAGCTGGGCATGGAGGTATCGCAAGTCTTGCTGGTCTAGCCCATGTGCCAAGCCCAGGTAGAGGGTGAGCAGTGCAGCCAAGAGGATTCTATCAAGGCCCAATCGGGGCACAGCCCACAGCACTGTCAGGAGTTCCACACACACAGGATGTCTCAAGTGCTCAAAGAGTCTCAGTGCCCGAGGGGACTTCAGGGCCAATGGCTCCCCTAGCCCCAGCACATGGTAATATACCTATGGGAGAGGGATGGGAGGACATTAGATCAGAAATTCAATCATCATATCCCTTTGCCTCTAATTCCATTCCCTCCCTCAATTCCTTATAAAAAGCTGCTCTGCTTGTCTTTCAAGGTTACCTCTTCCATGTCTCCAAGGACATAAGTCTAATCCTCCTCCAATCCTTGGGACTAAGGTCTCCCCTCCGAGTCTAACTCTTGGCTCTTAACTCTCCTACAAATCCATGGGAGCCACCATCATTTCTGGACTTAGGGGGAGGGGTTTTGGATCATGGCCCCATTAAGGGAAAGAAAAGAAAGGTAACTGGTAGACTGGTTAGGGTGGAGCAAAAACCCTGTGAGGACTGGTTAGGGCATGGGGAGATTGAAGGCGATTCAAGTCTTGGAAGAGGTAAGGAATGAAGTCCCAAGGCTGGACACCCGGGGACTGGAAATATTACCTGTTTGAGGCCCATGAGCTCAGGATAGTCAAAAACCAAGAGGATACTAAAAATGAGGAGCCAAGCTATGATGTGCATCACAAAGCAGAGAAGGGGTACCCAGGTCACCCAGGGCTCTGACTGTGCTTCCCAGAGGACTGGGCCCTCTGGCACTGGCTCCCAATAACGTATCACGACCTGGAAGAAACAGATGGGAGGATGGCTAGACTCAACTCCCCTTAAAGACCTATTCATCTAGTATGTTGAGGGGAGGCTCCCTCCTCACCCCCTACAATGGTGCAACACACACACACACACCCCCCCTCTAGCGCCCTGATGGCTTTTACGCTTAATAATTCATGAAGGGTACTCCAAGACTGTTTTCCAAACCCCTATTAACAGACACAAATGTTTTTTGATGTCCACTATATGGAGGACACCATGTTAGGTGATGGAATTGTAAACAAGTAGTAGTTAATGCTTTATTTATTTTTCTTAAGCCTCAAGAAGGAGAGAGCAGAGGATAGGAAGACATCACTGCTACTCTAAAATCCTCTCTGGATCCCAAACCTCCCAATCAATCAATAGCATTTATTAAGTGCCTACTATGTCAGGCAATGTCCTAGGCACTGGGGATAAATAGGCAAAAATGAAAGTCCCTGCCCTCATGAGACCTCCACTCTATAGGAGTGATAAGCACATATAAAATAAATACAGGGGACCAGAAAAGGTCTCATGTAGGAGATGGTGTTTGAGTTGAGTTTTGAAGGAAACAAGAGATTCTAGGAGGCACTGGGGAGGAAGCACGTGGGTGGCTATGGGTAGGAGGGGAAAGTTTGTGCAAAAGTCCAGAGATGGGACGTAGAATGGTGTGTGTGTGTGAGGGGGAGAGGGAGAGAGGGAGAGAGGGAGAGAGAGAGAGAGAGAGAGAGAGAGAGAGAGAGAGAGAGAGAGAG